AGTGCCTGAGGAGAAACCCAGGTATCTCACAATGTCCCTTTTTCAGAACTCCTGAAAGCCAAATCCACGTAACTGGAGTCCTATCAGAAGTCTTCGATCCTATCAAGTTTGTGAGGTAAAATCCAAATACTTGACGGCTTCATTAGGATTATCACGTACCTTTCAATCTACTTAACCACTCTTACAAGGTAAGTAACTTCAGGTACGTTTTTATTATTCGCATACATCATTTCTTAATGCATTTTAAAATGGGACTCATAATCCCGACAAAAACAACATTCATTGCATTTGCATGGTTGAAATTTAGGTATCATTTAGTCTTTGAATGCAACCTCTACGAGCTCACCTTCAAAGAGGGCCAGCTGTTGACACCTAAATTTTGGCGTATCATTTAGTCGTAATTTGTATAGAAAATTAGGGATTAAATTTTTAACCCCTAAACAAAAATATCTAGGTTGCATAACATATAGTTTAAATTCATTTTAGATTAATTGCATTTTGCATCGGACCGGCGGTGACGAACGAGCTTAAATTTCATCAAATGGGACTCGGCTCGCTTGGAATGCAAGGGCCGGGAAATACAAGTCAAACGGGCTCGGTTGTTTTAATTTGAGTTTAATTCAGCCCATTATGCTTAATTAAATAAAAGCCCAAGTTAAATCAGCCCATTTAAATTAAATTAAACCTAAGCCCAAGCCTAAGCCCATTAGGACTATAGAGCCCATCTAATTGACCTAGGTTAGCATTATACAAACATGTTTAGGTCAAATTTTTAGGGGAGGAGAGAATTTTCGGTTCAGAAATTCGGAGAAGTCGGAGGCTTCGTTCAAGAGGAGGTCTCCACGTTCTGGATGAAGGGAGACGGCCAAAAGAGCTCTCCTTCTTTGTAATGTTCATCACGTACAGAAAGAAGAGAGTTTGACTTTGAAAAGAGAGGGGCTGTCTTGCTTCTTGCAAGACTTCACGTGCAAAACAGAGATTGCACCAGAGAAAAAGAAAAGGAAAGGACCTCCCACTGCACGTTCTGAAAAGTCAGAGTTCTTCGAAGACCTCCCTGGTCATCATCTCGTCTCTGCACTCTCAGTGATCTGCTGCTCCTTGACTTCCCTGCATCAGCTGCGTCAGCAACATCCGGATTTCTTTCCAAGACGGTCTTTACACCTTTGCCGAACGAAAGCGCTCTTGCCTGCACCATCGAGTCATCGACGTCACAACACTTTGCTACAGAGTCACCGAATATACAGCAGTGACTGGCGAGTTCCTCGAGCACCTCGGCGAGACCCATCCATCTGTTTATCTTCTGCAGGTTTCTCGGTGGACTCCAGGAGGTTACCAGCTCATACCGACGTCTCCAACAGTGACAATTCAGCCTCAGCGAGTCTCCCGACGTTGGTCCCGCCACCACCGCGCGCTCCACCGCGCCCGTCGCCGGACGCCACCGTGAGCCGCCGCGCCGACGCCGCGTCGCCCGTCATCCGAGTCCGATCCCGATCCGCAAACTCGATCCCGAGTCGATTTGAATTTGGGAATTATCTGCAAATTAGGTAATTCAACATTATCCGATATTTTAAGAATATTTAATTTCCTAATATGGGTGTTTGAATATTTCGTGAATATCATGTGGATATTTAGATATCTTAGGACAATGTTCGATATATCCGCAATATTTTTAAATATTCAAAATTAGGAAAACTTCCTAATTTAGCAACGTATCTGGACGACTATCCGACCTTATCCCTAAGGTTCGATACGCGGCGATACGGAAAATTATTATCCTATCCATAACCACTTGGGTACGATAATGATTTTTATCCGCTTCCAAATTTGAATAATCGGCTTTCCGTCGATATCTATAACCCTATAGATATGACCGATAGTTTGATTTTTGTGCCTAATCCGAGTTTGAAACAAATATGGCGGATCCCGTGGACGTTTTGAATGTGGTTGCTATCTTTGTTTATTTAATTGCTTTCCTTTTTCAAATAAACAGAAAATTCAAAAAAATATTAATTAGAGTTTTCACATGTCTAGGAATCCTAAATATATCTAGAAGATAGAGTAGTTGTTTAATTTAAATTAGGACTTGAGATGATCTATTTCCTAGTTTAAATTAAGTAATATTCTAATCTTAATAGATTATTCAGGTTATTTTATTATTTCGAATTTCCATGAAAATCCCAAAAAAGAAGAATGAATTGTTTTAGGATAGATTAGGATAGATTGTATTCTTAATTTAAGTAATTCATTATTTCGAATTTTAACAAAAATCCTAAAAAGAAATCATGCTAGGGTAGATTAAGTCATCATAGTTTGCATGTTAATTTAGGCATTCTTATTATTCCGAATTTAAATTGAGAAAATACCAAAAATAATCATTCGTCTTGTCATTAGAAATAGGTCATGTCGTCGCACGACATATAGTTTGCATGCTAGGTTGCATTAATCGCATGTCATTTTCGCATGTCATTGCATATAGGCTAGATTTCATTTAAATAAGTGAAAAATCCAAAAAAGAAATTGAGTGAATTGCTTGTTAATTAGAAATCATATTAGGGTGTCAATATGATTTTCTAGCTAACAATGCAGATGCTTACGTTGCTTCCATGTAAGTAATTCTTTCAAACTTGCAATTTATTTAATGCTTTCTGGGTGTTAAATTGGTGGTTTGCGCACCCGCATGATCACCTCACATGCTAGTGACTAAGTTAAAATGAATCCAAACTGTCTGCCAAAACATTATTTTTTTGAAAAGAAAAGGTACCGAAAGGGCGTTAGACTAGACCTAGCGTAACCAAGTCCCCGAGCTTAGAATCTCTGGTTCGTAGGAATAAAACATATCTCCCTATGTTTTATTTAGGTTTCTAATCGACCTACCACAAATAGATTAGTGGCGACTCCAAGCATGAAAACTTTTGCATGTTAAAAACTTAAACCCTAAGTTGCGAATTGGTAGGGCTTGGGAGGGCCCGGGTTAGGCTTAGTCTTAACAATCCATTAGCCTGAGAGGAATTTTAGGTCGCGACATATATAAATAATGTATGTTTTCTAAATGCATGACATATCAATATATGCGATCTTAAGTTAGATAACACGCATGAATGACATGAAGCTAACCACGGATTAAATCTATGATGCAAACTATAAAGCTAACCACTAAATCATTCTATACAGTGGGACTTGATTGAAACAACGCAATTTGGGGTCATTTTATATATGGAAAAATGACCAAAACAGTCCTAAATCTATTGCTATTGTGTCAATTCAGTCTTAAATCTTTTTTTTTTGCCAATTCAGTCCTAAATGTAGCATCCCAAGCCCGCCCCTTTCAAGAGGAATCCTCCTATTTCTCAATATTCATCAAATTTTTCGCAGGCAGAAGATGCTTCTTTCTAAGGTCAACATAGTCATGACCACGGTTCAGGAACAGCCTGTTCCGGTTTGTGGCCACGTATGAACCGGAACCGGAACTGCAAGGGGGCGGTTCCGGTTCCGGTTCGGAACCGGCGGTTCCGGGCCGGTTCCGGTTCCGGTTCGTAATTTAAAAATTAATAAAATAAATCCTAAAATAAAAATTGCAGGCCTGGTCCTCCGTCGGTCGTCGCTCGGGCTTCGCGGCCTTGGCCACGGTGGTGGAGGCGGGGTTCAAGGCGGCGAGGAGATGAAGCGGGAGACGGGGGCGGCGGCGAGGGGGAGAAGGAGGAGGCCGGGAGGGGGACGAGGACGGGGATGGGGAGGAGGAGCGGGGGGTCCTCCTCCTCCGGGGTCGGGAGGAGGGGAGGAGGAGGGGGCGTCAGCGTCAGTAGCTGCGGCCATGGGCAGCGGCAGCGGTGGCGGGGGTCAGATCTGGGGAGACGGGGGGTGGACGGAGGAGAAAAGGGGAGGAGGCGCAGGGTAGCGAGGGAGAAGGAGGAGGGGGCGTCGGCGTCGGCGGCTGCGGTCATGGGCGGGGGTCAGATCTGGGAAGACAGGGGGCGGGCGGAGGAGAAGAAGAAGAAGGAGAAGGAGAAGGAGAAGAAGAAGATCAGAGCACGTGAGAGAGAGAGAGAGACATATCAATGCAGCAGCAGTTTTTTTTTTTTTTGGAACCGGGCCCGGAACCGCCGGTTCCAAAATTATTGGAAACGGAACCGGGCCCATAGGCCACGGGTCGGCTCCGGTTCCGAACTGCGGGCCCGGTCAACGAGCCGGTCCCGGGTTTGACCCAGGCCGATTCCGGGCCAAAACCGGCCCGTGGCCATGTCTAGGTCAACAATTATAACATGAATGTGATATAGAAACATAGAAATATAGAAATGCAAGGAAACGCAAGATATGAAATTACCATTCATCATACTTAATAACAGGGGTGATAAAAGGGTGAGTTCACACTCAGGGAGACTGCCTATAGGCGCCACTACAACTCGAACTATTCACATGGACCCACCACTCACTTCAAAAAAACAAAAGCGATCACCTGAACACACGACTCTATCCCAAAATGTCACAGTCGTGTCTTCCAAAAGTTCCTTCCCCTCCTTGATACCGTCCTCACTCAACCCCGCTACCAGCACCATCGTCCGCTCCATCCTGCCCTAGGTGTGGGAGAGGTCTCACCAGCCGTCCTCTAGCACGAACATAGACGGCGACAAACTCCAAAAGTATGGGTCCCACTGGGGACCCAATATCTACAGTCAGGATGGAGATACACTTAATAAAGACTATCCCCGGGAAGTATGGGTCCACAAACTCAGACAAGTGGCCCTCAAAATCAATGGGCACTCCGTAGCTAATGGAGGTCAATGTGAGAAGTATCGGCATGGCTATAGATCTGTAAAAAGGTGTCAATAATAAACAGTGAGCGAAAGCTCAGCAAAGTAAACTCTATCCCGCCATACTAAACAATAATGTCAAGCATATTAACAGGATCAATCCGATAGACAACTAAACCAATCCACCAACTAGCCATAGCATGCATATACTCCCTTTTCTCTCTATGCTACTACTCACTAGGCATTAAGATCGTCAACCAATGAACAGATGTTGACACCTAAATTTTGGTGATTCAGTCAGTCGTTCATTGCATTAAAAATTAGGGATCGATCCCTGTCCCTAGACAAAAAATTAGTTAAATTGCATATAGATTAGGAGCATTTGAATTAGTAGTTAGGCTTATATAGTTGCATTTGCATTGGACCGGCGGCGGGTGGACTTGAGTGAATGATTCTGAGCTTAACTGGACTAAGCCTGCGGTGGCCGAAATCATGTGTATCAAGTTCGGAAAATTTGATGAAAATTTGAAGCGATAAAGCTTGATATTATCAAGATTTTGGTCACATAGCAAATAAGAAAGAAGCAATCGGCATAATTCCCGTGATATTTGTGAGATCAACTATTTAAGGGAATAAATAATTCAGAGCAAGATTTAGTTAACAAAAGGAATATTTGATTGAAAAGAAAGAGGAATGAAAATATGCATGCGTCCAAGGATTTGTCGGTGAAAAAAAGTATATAAAAGGACGAGGGGGGCTTCACTTCTCGGGGGGCCAAAAATCGTGAGTGAGAGCATAGAGAGGAGGCCACACAACTTACATATACGGCCATTCAAAGAAACACAAAAAAAGCGGTGAGAGGTGAGAATATACTAGAGAGAGGGAGAGAGGAGTCGTGGCCCAGCATCCACTCATACGGCCGCGACTTTGCTTCACTCACCGCTGTCCACGGCCGCGACACACCCCTGTTGGCCTGACGAGCAGCCGCTGTCTTGACGAATTGGTGGTTTACCGTCTCTTTAGCAATACCTGTTGCCCACAGGAGAAGACCTCGCTGGATTACTTCGGAAGAAGGTCCACCGTCATCAGACTTTGAGAGGTTCTCAAAGGAATCCATTTGGGAACACTTGGAGATCAATGCAAACCACACTTGACTAATTTCTTGCAGATTTTCCAAGCATCCCTGACATGCTCGAGACCTCCACTAATTCAGTTATTTGTTTTAGTTTAAGCTTTTATATGTGTAGGTTTTCTTTGGCCGAATCCAATATCCATCCCTACAAGCCAAGCGAGTAACTCCAACAGAGCTGACGACACTTGCTACTCTGGACAGAGACGACGATGCTGCTGCCTCTCCTCACCGATCCGTGACTTTCGGTCCGAGTAAACGAGGCCACTGTGACGCCGTCTCCGTCACCGGGTCCAGCCGCGTTGTTCGTGATCTGCGAGCCACCGTCCGCCGGTCCAAACTTGGAAAGCAAATATTCAAATTAGGTAAAAATTTCATCTAATTTGATTTTGAGTATATTGTTTCCTTGTTTGAAATATTGCAATTTTGTTTGAATCATTGAGTGATATTATCGTATCTATTAAGTTCCCGAATAACTTTTAAATTAGGAATTATTTCCTAATTTCGTAACGTGCTGTGGTCGTCAATCCAATCTCCTGCCCGAGATATGATTCGCGATCGCACGGAAAATCGTCAATCCGATCTCCTGCTCGAGATACGATTTGCGATTGTGTGGAAAAATTGGCCAATCCGATCTCATGCCCGGGATATGATTCGTCAATCTATCGTTTCTAAATTTAAATGGATATTAGTAATATTTTGCGATATGGTGTCGTGTCGATTTGATTGTTATTTCTTTCTATCTTTGTTCGATTTGAATTGATTTTGTTTTTTCTAAAAAAAATAAAAATATATATATAGATTCTTTGTATGTTAATATTAGGGAATTTAATTAATTTCGAATTTCATAAAAAAATATAAAATAATAATAAAAATAAACATGTGCATGTCATATAGTTTAGATTGCATCATGCTTGTATGTCATCTTATCACGTCATTCCTAACTTGCCATGTCATCTTGTATGACATGTCATTGCTTGCATATCATTTAGTGATTATATGTTAGGATCATGACATTGCGTGTCACGTTAGAATAGGCATTCTTTGTACGTCATCACATTAGAGCAGTTGCATATTAATTAATTCTCGTTATTAGAAATCTCATGTCTAGGTTCATTTGTGTGCCACATTAGAGATAGTGCATTTAATTGTTGTTAGAATTAGGACATTTAAATAAATCGTATGTCGCATGTCATACTAGACGTAAAATGCATTGCATAAAGTTTAGTTTTCGTTAAATAAGAGAAAACCCTAAAAAAGATTTGAGTAAAATTGCGTGTTAATTAGAAATCATATTAGGATTGTAAATGTGATTTTCTAACTAACATTGCAGATAAGTCCCTATCTTGCAATTTATATATTGCTTTGCATTATTGAGTGTTATATTATTAGTTGCGCACCCGCATGATCACATCGCATGTTAGTGGATAAGTTTAAAATTAATCCAAGTTGCCTGAAAATATTTTTGAAATAAAAGAGAAAAGGTACCGAAAGGGCATTAGAGTAATCTAGTGTAACCAAGTCCCCGAATCCATAATCTCTGGTTCGTAGGAGTAAAGTAATTCTCCCGATAATTTACTTGGGTTTATAATCGTCTCACCAAAAAATAGATTAGTGGCGACTCCTGATTGAAATAATTTGCATGTTAAGAACTTAAACCTTAAGTCACGAATTGATAGGGCTTGGGAGGGCCGGAGTTAGGCTTAGACTTAATAATCCATTAGCCAAACCCCTAGATGGTGCACCGCGGGAGGTTAGATCGCTACAACATATAATCACACGAGCACACATCGCATGTGTTACATGACATTAATCAAACTTTAATCTCCACTCCAAGGCACAAGTTCGGTGCACTCGCCGGCCACGCATGGACGAACATCCCGTCTAGCAAGGTCCGGTGCACCCTCCGGTCTGCCGTAGTATACGCCAGAATTCTCATCGACCTGCATGGGCTTCGTAGTCCACTAACCATGGCATCCCGATCAAACTCCCAGGGCATCTAGGGCAGGGTACCTCCTAGGCATCGTAGTCCACCGGACACGCCATCCCGCTTTCCCTTCGGCTCTTCGCGGCACTATCGTCCGTAGACCGACGGGTCAATCATCTCTTAGTCACGCATTCACACACACAAACGATCTTTTCATTTATTACATGCATAGCTCACAATGAACTTACCACTTACCGTGTACCCCTTGGACTCCACACAAATTCATGAGTATCAACTTTGCCTCATCATATCATGACCATTAATGCCTCATTGGAAAGCTAATTGAGTGTGGTTACTATCTCTAGTAGACAAGAAATTAAGAATCCATCATCTTCCAATAAAAATTCGAGATTTTCTAACAATAGGTAAAATAAGGCAATTTTGAGCATTTTGAGAAATCAAGACCAATAATATAGTAAATGATCTCGAAAAATTATGAAATTTGAATATGTCATATAAAAAACCTTAAGTGACATTTTTCATGAATAGTGTAAAACCCAGATCATTTTGTATACCTGAGAATGAGCCACTTAAAATCTAACCAAAACTGGCCCGCTAGAGCAGAATGATTAAACCAAAAGAAATACTTGTTTCGCAAATCAAATCTTCTCAAAATACTTCGAAATTTTTATACGTTGTAGACATGGATTTCTTTAACAACTTTCGTAAAGGAAATATGTCCAATTTCGAACTGAAAATTTTTATAAAAATTCGAGAAGACAAAAAGGTCACTGATTTTACTGTACTGAACAGATTTAATACGGTAAGAAATAGGGGCTTCGTGCAATCCATTTGAACTCAGAAAAATCTTAATTTAAAGTATGTTATATTCCAAGATTTTCTGAACAACTTTTATGAAGAAAGTTTTCAGTATTCATATCACAAAAAGCTCTATAAAAATGGAAAACCGTAAAAGTCCAGCAGTGTTCTGGAAAACAAAGCCGAAGTTCAAGAAAACGACTCTAACTTGAAATCCACGAATTCTCATCCAGGAAACTCAAAACCAGAAGTCCAAACCAACGTGCAACATCCATTTCCAACCTGGTTCAGCAACCTATACGCACAAAACTCATTGCAAAAGGTCTAAACCAACATACTTGGGCAAATACACAATCAAACCATTCTCCCCCACAACATCAAGCCACCACATTGTCTAGTCCAAGACCCAAACTCAACATACAAACACTAAAATGGTTAGTATGGAGTGAGAGAGCACACTTGCCTCGACGACGAGTGTGGCGGCACGGCGTGCGGGTCTTGGTTGGGAGAGAGAGCACGGTGCGGCGGTTTCCGGCTCGCGGTGGTTGCTGCCGCTGACGTGAGGAGACGGGATGACGGAGGGAGCGGCGTCGTGTGGACGGACGGTTGCAGCAGATGAGTTGAGCAGCTGCTGGTCAACTGGGTCGGCGGCTGGTGAGTTCTGAGTAGAGAGAGAGAGAGAAGAGAGAGAAAGTGAGAGAGAGAGAGCCGGCGAGGAAGAGAGTTGGCAGAAGAGAGGGGGAAATGAGAGGAAGGAAAGAGAGTGGAATGACTCTTCCCCTTCCTTTGCATGCATGGCCAATGGCCGGATGGTGCGGTGGAGAAGACAGGCGCCACATGGCGCTTCTCCTCCGCCAAGTGGTGGAGGGGAAAGAAGAAAAAGAGAAAAAAAGAAGAAAAGGGAAGAGAAAAGGGGGGCAGTGATGATCCGGTAAGAAGGAAAAAGGGGGCAGGGGCAGTGACGGTGGTGTTCCCGACGGCATGGCGGCGGGAAAAGGGAAGGAAAATTAACGTGAGTGCGGAGCGGTAGAAAGGTCGGGTCGCGTGATGACGCGACATCGGAAGCAGTCGGCGCAGCGGCGATTGGAACCAAGAAACACGGCACACTTCTTCATAGACGATAATGGTGACGGTTTCCAAATTATCCGTCGACGAATGCCCTAATCATTTAGGATCCCTTCCTTCCTCTCCTCTGATCATATAGAGGTTCAGGATGTCACACTAGACCTTTTGTATTTTTACCAACTCAATCTATCCGGCCAATTTTGCCTGGCCGGCGCTGACATGGACGCCGACTGGCGCCGACCCTCTAGCCGACGCTGACATGGCAAATTTTAAATATTTTTTGTATTTTTTCAAATTCTTTATTTTTTTTTTCCTTTTCCTCTTCCCCTGGCCGGTCCAGCGACCAGCGACCAGCCAAGGGCTAGGGCCGGCAAAACTAGTCGCTGGCCACCGGTGAGGCTCGCCCTTGCCAGCACTGGCGAGGGCAAGCCTCGACCTCGCCCACGGCGAGGGCCGTAGTGGCGACGGCGAGGTCGGCAAAGCAGTGGCCATGGTGAGGCCACAGTGTCGCTAGCCCTAGCCCCTGGTTGGTCGCCAGTCACTGGACCGGCCAGGGGAAGAAGAAAAGTAAAAAATAAAAAAATAAAAAAAATTTGAAAAAAATATTTTAAAATATTTTAAAATTACCACGTAAGTGTCGGTCGGCGTTCATGTAAGCGTCGGTTGGCCAAAATTAGCCGGATGGACTGAATTGGCACAAATACAAAAGGTTTAGGACTGAATTGGCACAATTACAATAGGCTTAGGACTGTTTTGGTAATTTTCCCTTTTGTATATTGACGGGGCATTAAATATCATGCATCAAAGTAAGTCCGCATCTCACGTATGCATCAACTTAGATAGTAAAGTTGAAGAGATAGCTCTACTTGAGATTATTAAAGATGTGTCAGCACAAAAATTCGAAAAAAATGGATATTGTTATACTTCCAAATGATTCTGTCAATAAGCCCACTTACTAAAATTACAAAATTCTATAGAAAATTACTGAAATTCGAAAAAGTGAGGAGCCTAAACTTGACGGGTGTCGCTGTAGTATTCAACCATATATTCGTACAAAATGGTTTCAAGTTACACAACTACCTCCAAAACTCCTCGTGCATGGAGTTGGGTGGAACCTATAAATGTTGAAGTGGACCGTGTCCCATCATAAACCTAGGACGAGCAAACACTTGGCTTCTGGCGAGGTCTTGCGGCCATTCGCTAGGCTGGCGAGGTCATGCCTCGCCTAGCCACTAGCAAAGGCCGCGAGGTCTCGACCATCCTTGCCAGCAGCCGGCAAGCTCGCCGGTCCTAGCCTCCAGCGGGTCGCCGAACCGGCGACCGGCTGGAGGAAGAAGAAAAGAAAATAAAAAAAAAAAGAAAAAGAAAAAAATTTAAAAATTCGAAAAATACTAAAATATTATTAAAAGTTGTCCACGTCGGCGCCACGTAAGCTGGTGGCGTCCACGTTAGCAAAATCCGATCAAAATTAGCTAGAATGACTGAATTAGAGCAAAAAATAAAAGGTTTAGGACTGAATTGACACAAAAAAAAGGTTTATGACTAAATTGGCACCAATGCAAAAGTTTTGGGACTTATCTAACACTTTTTCCACTGTTTTTTCAGAAGTAAATGTCAAGGAAAAAGGGCCAAAAAAAGACCGACACATGTCAGTATCCCGAAATCCGAGTAGTACATGTACAATTCTGAAGTCCAATAAGATTCGCGCATAGTTATTACAAGGGCGATGACATTTAAAACGACTAACTATGCATAACACTAGGGCAATTTGTACACTCGAAATTGCACAATTTCGTTAGTTGTAGTTTCGTATTAATGTCCTTGATGCAATTATTAACAATATCATTCCTATAATACCCACAACGTTCCTGCAAATTGCACTGCAGATTAATCTACTCAATCATATCAATTGTTGCGACGCTTACATTAGATTTTACGAAGTAAAAATCGCAAGTTCCTTTGTGTGTTGTGAACGATGAGGGACTTGAGTTTAACTTGAGCAAGCAAACTAATTCACCAAACGTAATCTCCAAGATGATGATGATAGATACATACTGTACATGAACGGCGGGGCTCCTTTCAGTTGTATGATCCAAGGCGAATATCAGCCTCGCAATCTTCCAACACTATTTCTCCTAATTTCCTTTTTCTTTTCCTTCCTTTTTCCTAGATATTATCTCTGACAAGTTGCAGTGGGTCCCACTTGCCAAATAAAAATTGATGAGTTGGCCTTGTGCACGTGTCAAACGATAAGTGGACTGATCAATAAACTAACGCGGAGGGATGGGTCTACCTGATATTTTTTCCGCTGCGAGCAATGATGGTCAGCCAAATAGAGGCCAATAGGAGTTGGCCAAAGTCGTGCATGTGTGACCAGAGCACAAGCCTTTGAAGCATATAGCTACATTCCTAAACGCAAGTCTTCGCAAGAAACAAAATTGAATATCAACATCTCAATGGATCGGTAAATCATTCGCTACAAAAAAATAAGAGTTTTCCAACGAATTTTCCAACGAAAAATTCGGCAAAATTCGTTGGCCAACGAAATTTGCGACGAAAAAAAATTCGTTGGTAATTCGTCGTCGCAAATTTTTCCGACAAAAAATTTAAATTTTCGTTGGTAATTTGCAACGAAATTTTTTCGTTGGAAAAATTCGTTGGAAAGTTTGTTGGAAAATTCATTGGTAATTATTCGTTGGAAAAAACGTGGCAAAATTCGTTGGTAATTATTCGTGGCAAAACGAATTTCCGACGAAAAGCAATTCGTCGGTAATTCTGCGTTGGAAATTTTTGCGACAAAAAATTTTAATTTTTCGTTGGTAAATTCCGACGCAAAAAAATTCGTTGCAAAATTCGTAGATAAATTCGTGGCTAAATTTGTTGGAAAATTCGTTGCTAATTCTTCATTGGAAACATCGTCGCAATATTCGTTGGTAATTTCCAACGAAATTAGCGACGAAAAAAAATTTGAATTTTCGTTGGTAATTTCCGACGAAAATTAATTCGTGGCAAAATTCGTCGCTAAAATTCGTTGGAAAAATTCGTTGCAAATTATTCGTTGCAAAAATCGTGGGAAATCCGCGAAATTTTCCGACAAAAAAATACAATTTTCGTTGGTAATTTCCGACGAAAAAAAAGTTCGTTGGAAATCTCGAATTTTTCCGACAAACAATTTTCGTTTTTAATTTCCAACGAAAAAAAAATTCGGTGGAAATCGCGAATTTTTCCGACAAACAATTTTCGTTGTTAATTTCCAACGAAAAAAAAAATTCGTTGGAAATCCCGAATTTTTCCGACAAACAATTTTCGTTGGTAATTTCCGACGAAAAAAAAATTCGTTGGAAATCCCGAATATTTCCGACAAGAAATTACAATTTTCGTTTTTAATTTCCAACGGAAAAAAAAATCGTTGGAAATCGCGAGTTTTTCCGACAAACAATTTTCGTTGTTAATTTCCAACGGAAAAAAATTTCGTTGGAAATCCCGAATTTTTCCGACAAACAATTTTCGTTGGTAATTTCCGACGAAAAAAAAATTCGTTGGAATTCCCGAATATTTCCGACAAGAAATTACAATTTTCGTTGTTAATTTCCGACGAAAAAAAAATTCGTTGGAAATCGGGTATTTTTCCCACAAACAATTTTCGTTGTTAATTTCCAACGAAAAAAAAATTCGTTGGAAAAAGCGAATTTTTCCGACAAACAATTTTCGTTGGTAATTTCCGGCGAAAACACAATTCGTTGGACATCCCGAATATTTTCCGACAAGAAATTACAATTTTCGCTGTTAATTTCCAACGAAAAAAAAATTCGTTGGAAATTGCGAATTTTTCCGACAAATTTTCATTGGTAATTTCCGACGAAAGTAAAATTCGTTGGAAATCCCGAATATTTCCGACAAGAAATTACAATTTTCGTTGGAAATCGCGAATTTTTCCAACAAACAATTTTCGTTGGTAATTTCCGACAAAAACAAAATTCGTTGGAAATCCCGAATATTTCCAACAATAAATTAAAATTTTCGTTGTTAATTTCCGACGAAAAAAATTCGTTGGAAATCGCGAATTTTTCCGACAAAAAATAACAATTTTCGTTGGTAATTTCCGACGAAAACTAAATTCGTTGGAAATCGCAAATTTTTCCGACAAACAATTTTCGTTGTTAATTTCCCACGAAGAAAAAATTCGTTGGAAATCGTGAATTTTTCCGAGAAATAATTTTCGTTGGTAATTTCCGACGAAAACAGAATTCGTTGGAAATCGCAAATTTTTTCGACAAAAAATAGCAATTCTCGTTGGTAATTTCCGACGAAAACTAAATTCGTTGGTAAATTCGTTGGAAAAATCGTATATAAATTCATCCTTATTCGTTGCAAAAAATCGTGGGAAATCTGTGAAATTTTCATCCAAAAAATTACAATTTTCGTTGGTAATTTCCGACGAAAACAACATTTGTGGGAAAATTCGTTGCAAAATTTGGTGCTAATTATTCGCTGCAAAAATCGTTGGAAATTCGATTTTTTTCCATCAAAAAAATTCAATTTTCGTTGGTAATTTGCAACGAAATCTATTCGTGACAAAATTCGTCGCTAAGTTTGCGACGAATTTTGTTTAGCGACAATTTCGATTTTAAATCTAATTATTATCAATATTAATTTTTTTTTGGTAAGAAAGCAATATTAATTTCTACAATGCATAAGTTGCAAAGTCTCATATGATGATATTCGATATTCAATCTCATAATACAAAGAGGCAGCTAAGCACTAATGAACATCAGGTGATACATTCAAAACATTAAAAGAACGCGGGACAACCATAAAATATTGGCAGCTTTGGTACTCGAGAATGAACTAGAAAAGACTAACAATAAAATCATCAGCATCATTATCATCATCATCACCAATCGCCGCATCATTTTGTGGCTCAGCATTATACCCATCATCAATTGGATTAATATGAGGTAGAGGAAGAACCTCATTGCGATCGATGTCGAGATGTCGCATGACAATTTGCATTTGTTGTTGCATCACCCTTATTTGTTCGTCCTTCTGTCCAAGTAAATACTTCATTTCTTCGTCCTTCTGTACAAGCAACTGCTTCAGTTGGCTCAATTCTTGGGTTATATGCTCCTCATGTCGTGTCCTCCTTGAAATAGCCGCATTGGAGGATGAAGTTGCAGCAGCCTTCGTTTTGTACATCC